CTCTGAAAAAAATAAATCAAAGAGGTTATTAAAAAATGGAAAGATAGCTCCTGCTTCTGGGTAGAAAGGATCAACATAGTGAAAATGGCCATACAACCAAAACTGTTATACAGATTCATGCAGTCCTGATTGAAATTCCAATGGTATACCTCACAGAACTAGAGATAACAATCCAAGAATTCATTTGGAACCAGAAGAGACCTATAATAGCAAAAGCAATTCTAAGCAACAGAGACATGACAGGGGGTATCACAATCCCCCAACTTGAAACTACACTACAAAGCCACTGTGATAAAAACAGCATGGTACTGGCAAAGAAAAAGGCCTGAGGATCACTGGAATAAATAGGAAGATACAGAAACAACTCCAGATGTACTCAGCTACCTCATCTTTGACAAAGGAGCCAACCATCCTCACTGGAGGAAAGACAGCCTCTTTAATAAATGGTGTTACAAAAACTGGATTTCAACATGCCAAAGATTAAAACTAGACCCTTATCTTTATCCATGAACTAAACTGAAATCCAAGTGGATTAAATATCTAAATATTAAAAAAGAAACACTAAACTTGATGTACAATAAGTTAGGTAGAACTCTTGAAGATATTGGCATAGGAAAAGTCTTCATAAACAAATCCTCAGTAGCATGGGAACTAGCACAAACAATCAACAATGGGTATCTCATCATATTAAAAAGTTCCTGCACTGCACAAGAAGACATCTGAAATGAATAGATATTTCTCAGACAAAGAAATAAAAGCAGCAAGTAAATATATGAAAAAATGTTAGACATCACTGGTCATTCAAGAGATGCAGATGAAAACAACACTGAGATTCCACCTTACCCCACAAAGAATGGCTGTTATCAAGAAATCAATCAATAACAAATGTTCGCTGGGTTGTGGGGAGAAAGGAGCCCTTCTCTATTGTTGGTGGGAGTGCAGACTGGTGCAACCACTATGGAAATCAATATGGAGATACCTCAAAGATCTGGGATTAGAGGTTCCATTTGACCCAGCCATCCCTCTGCTGGGTATCTTTCCAAAGGAACTAAAAGAATCATATCACAGTGATATATGTGCACCTATATTTATAGCAGCACACTTTGTAACTTGGAAACAGCCCATTTGCCCATCAGTTGGAAACTGGATAAAGAATGTGGTTTTTCTATACAATGGAATACTACTCAGCCATAAAGAATGAGAAATTAGATTCATTCATAGGAAAATGGATACATATTGCTCCTAAGTGAAATAAATAAGTCACACATGTGTAAATACCCAATAGTTTCTCTGGTGTGAATAAACTATAATAATACATAAGGTCCTAATGAGATAACTTACAATGTGAAATGGGAAGAAAAGGGCTAAAGGTGTAGGGAAGGTGGGATGGGTAGGGGAAAGGTAATAAGGGAAAAGAAAAAAATATAAAATAAAGAAAAGATGGAAATAAAGTGTTTGTAGATGGGGAGGAGAGGAGGGGGTGAAGGGAGGGCAGGGACAAGGGGAAAAAATGAGAATCAAGACTTGCCATGTAGAGGTACATGATCGCAACAATGAATGTAACTGTGCTATATCCCTAAAATGTACCAATAAACTCAATTTTAAAAAGGGAGAGAGAGCTGCAAATGTGCTGCACACCCTACAAATAACAGCATCTTAGAATCAAATCCATGCCCTTCTCTGGGCAACCTCTCAGGATTATCAGGCTGAACTCCTATCAAGTGAATAAAAAGTGAGTTCTAGTGCATTTGCTTCTTCTACTCTCTGTGCAAATGAATTTAGCAAAAAATACAAGCTACTGCTTACCCCAGCCTTTCTGCATGGCTGGGGGTGCCTCTGTACTAGACACCTGCAGGTACCCACCTCATCTCACCCTCTTATCAACCATGGGAAGTCAGCATTATTATGCTCCGTGAATGCTGAGTGTTAAGAAGCTTGCTGCAAACACACAACTAGCAAATGGCCCAGCAAGTTTATGAACCAGGATCTATTTGATATTTTTGCCCATGCTATTTCCCAGGATGTTATAAGAGGGAATTACAGGTCTTCTTAACTTCCAGGTTATTTGCTCCCAGGCTAAAGCCTCGTGTGTAACTTGTAACAGACAGCGGTCCCTTCATTGTGGGGAAGAGGCATGTGGGACATAACTAATTGGGACACTGCCCATCCCAATTAGACCTTCACACACGTCCTAGGGGTGCTAGCCAATGCATACACTCACACTGTACACACACGCACGTGCATACAACCGCACAAGCATACTGGCAAGCACCCGATGGAAAGGCCTGGGTAAGAATGGAGTAAGGTTCTTGGCTGTCTCCTGACAGCCTCCGAGGACAGCTTTCCTCACTAAGCAAATGTCCCAGCCCAGAGATTGAGCCTTGGCCACAGGAAGGATCTCCGGGAGACAACCTCACACCGCACTCACCCAGGACAAGCATCTAAGCCATGATCAGTGTATTGATCTACAGTGAAATGCCAGGCTCCAGGAAGTGTGGGTCCTGCCAGGCTCTGCATCCCTGAAGGCAGCATCCTGCAAAACCAATTGTGAGCTGGCAGATTGGTGAGCTTGAAGCCAGTGCAAGATGGCTGGGAAAGACTGTGTGTCTTGGGCCAGAGTGGCCTGATGGGGGGCAACATGCCAGAAAAGGATACTGAGGCCTGGTGCACCCTCTTATTCCCCCCCTGCACACAGCCTGCCACTTTCACCTTAGCAGCTCCTTCAGGGAGGTCCCTGGAATTGACCAGCCCTTCCAACTGAAAATTCCCACTTCTTCCCAGAGGTTACAGCCCCCACATCCTGCTGCCTCTCTGAAGTGGCCTTGCTAAGTTCTGTCCATCCTATCTGGCTGACCTTGCAGTTGGACTCTAAGAGAACATTGCTCTCCTTATTTACTGGTGGGTGAAGTCCTAACACCATTGTTAGCGCACAAGGACCACCCTCATTTGGCAAAGCAGGAGCAGAGCTACCAAAAACAAGAATCTATGGGGCAAAAGAGAGGTATTGATATAGCTTCCAGGGCCACCTACACTACTGGGTAGGCCCCAACTGAAAGATCCCCAATTTCCTGCCACCCAAGGGGGTCTCAGAAATTTCAGGTCCATTGTCAACCTGAAAGCAAGTACATTTACCTGAGGAGGTGTATGCAGAGAATCAGCTCTGAGAACCAGTCCGGGCACAGACCTCTGCACCCAGGCTCCTACAGGCTCTCATTCACCCTCCCTCCATTGTCAGCTGCCTTCCCTGCTGTACATCCCAACTCCTTGCAGGCCTAAGCCCAACCTCAAGTCCCTGTGGGCCAAACTCCATCCCCCAACATACACACAGGGATCATTCTGCTTCCTGGGGATCCCCATGGCCTCCAGGTACAGCCTAGGCTCCCTCCGAGAATAGAAAGTGCATCTGGTTAGTAACAAATGTTGACAATAACAATAGTATTTATCATAGCAAGGATTTGCCCTGCTAAATGCTTTACATGCATCAGAACACCATTTAATCCTCCAGACAATGCAAGAAATAGAAGCTATCCTCATTTCATAGAGGAGGAAACTGAGGAGCCAAGAGTATACTCCTCACCATCAGGCAGGTAACACAGGGCAGCTCCAGCCTCTCATTTGGGTCTGTCTTCTTCAGGGCACATGATTCTGGGCACTGCTCCACCTGACCACACCTCCAGGAGCACTGCCTGCCTGTGCCACAGTGGGAAGGGAGAGGAGGGAGGCTTTACCCTTCTTTAACTTACTCATAAGGACAAGAAGAAAAACAAGCATAATTCAGAAGAAAGGAATAATGTAGGGTGCTGCTTAGACTGGATGACCAGAGTTTAACTCTGTCAGCATTCCTTTATTTTAACATGGGCTACAAACTCTTCTTAGTTTCAAATATATTGCTATGCAAGAGCAGCTTCAATCTTATTTCAACTAAACTATCACACCCAAAATCCTTCCAACATGAAAACTCCTGCAGTCACCTGGATGTGGTTCTTCCATCATTACCCAGGCCCAACCAGTTCATCTCCTGGTACCAACATCCATGCTGCCCAGGAACACCTGCCATGGCCTGGACAGCCTTTGCCAAGCTGTGCCTTTGCCCTGGCCAGTTGGCTTCCTCCCAGAGCTCCCTAGCTCCCCAGTACACAAGCTTGGGGTGTTCTGCACCCAGGCTTCCTCTTGCTCAGCCACCCTATTATGCATGCAAAACCCTCCTTTCTTTCCATGGCTCATTGGCATGGAATCCAAAGAGAAAATTGCCATGAGAAAAAAAAATAAAGCTTTAGTTTTAAGATTCCCTGGCATAATTTAAAGGAAGATTGTGCTAAGTGTGGGGGACTTTTATCAAAAGAGCATCATTACAATTTTCCACATCATTTCATTTAAGCTTCTGCAATGATTTAAACCAGTGCATTTCTTTTAATAATAATAATAATAATAATAATAATAATAATAATAATAATACCATTCTGAAAGTATATAGAACATGTTTAAGCAAATGCCTGGGAAGCTGCTCACAATGTCCTCGGATGCATCCTCCTCTTCCAACATGAACAGGAGCCAGCCGTCACACTTTACTGATCTAACAGAAAACAGGAATTGACTGGAAGACCCCACACAAGGGATTGATGTGGGCATGGGAGGGAGAGGGGAGAGGCCTCAGTAAGATGAAGTGATGTCAGTTCTGTGCAACAATAGATTTTGAGGTGCTGGGCTAGATGTTTATGATACAGAGACTACAAGAAAGAACTAGCACCTGGCCTCAGGAAGTTCTCAGTCCAGCATGGGTGACAGACAAGTGGGCTAGCAGCTGCGACGTGATAAAAGCACAGGAGTCTTGACGTACAAGAGCAGCAACTCTGGAGTTCAATTGCTAGTTCTTTGGGAAAACCACTGAAGGACTCTGTGCCTCCCTTTCCTCAAACAGGAAATGAGTGTTGTCATAGTGAGCTTACGTGTACAAAAGGGCCCAGAAGACTGTCTGCTACATGCTAACTGCGCTGGCCATTGTCATCACTAGACAGGACACCCAGTCTGGTGCCCATCCTCTCACCTGCCACCTCCAAAGCAAGGCTTGAAGGAGTCATGGTGAGTCTTGTCATCAAGGTTGGGGGAATTAGCCGAGAGGAGAAGGTGGGAAGAAGAGGGCCTAGCAGGGACAAAGCAGACACAGTAGATGGCATTCTATATGCGTGTACCTATATTGAAGGGTATGTTGTATGTTGGTGTTTATAGGAAGCGCTGTGTCACATACACGTACATATAGTAAATGACATGTAATATGTGTATGCCTATTGAATTGCATGTTGTATATGTATATTATATGTACATATATTAAATTGTACATGGCATACATGTACATGCGTTGAATGGCATGCATACGCACTTAGGTACACTAAATGGCATGTTGTATACATATATACATTAAATGGCACATTGCATATATGGGTGCCTATTAAATGGTATGTTGTATACTGCACAGTGGTATCTATACATTGCATTGATGATGTGTTATATACATGTACATACATTAATGGGAGTGTTTCCACATGTACATAACTTAAGTTCTATATTGTATATATGAATATATACATATTAAATAGTATATTTTATGATACTGGCATGTTGGGTAGTGAGTGGGTATAGCAGATAAGGTAGAAAGGCACAAAAGCTCACCCCATAGAGAATCTCCTTTGCTTATGCTAAGGAGTTTGAGTGCTTTGTTTGTATGTTGGAAACTGTTGAAGGATTTTAGACAGAGAAGCAATATAATCAGATTTGCAGCCTAGAAAAGAGCTTTGCACAGGGAAAAGCTGGAAGTAGGCAGACAGCTCCAGCTGGTAGAAGACTAACGCAATCTTCCTCTTAAGAAATGATGAGGAAGGGGGTGAAGGGAGGGTGGGGACAAGGGGAAAAATGAGAACCAAGACCTGTCATGTAAAGGTACAAGATCCCAGTGATGAATGCAACTGTACTGTATACCTAGAATGTACCAATAAATTCAATTTAAATTTAAAAAAAAAGAAATGATGAGGATACAAAGTTGGATAGGGAAGAAAGAGAATCAAAAGATATTTAGGACTTCCAGTTCAAGACGGTAGATTGAATGCATGCAACTCATCTCTGTAAATCATGATAGATAGATGGATAGATAGATAGATAGATAGATAGATAGATAGATAGATAGATAGATAGTTGGTAGATAGATAGATAGATATAGATAGAATTTAAAGGACAAAATATGCATTTTGATAAAGGTAAAAGATAAAAAGTTAGACAGCAATTAACTTAGAACTCTGGCAACAGACAACTGCTTGATAACTGACAAGCAAGTCCAAGGACACTGGATTCCAGCCAGAAAGTGAGCACACCCTAGAACCACATAATCCACAGCTCAAAAGGTCCATACACCCAGGCTGAGGTACAGCAGGAAAGCGCAGGATGGGCACTGCTGCTGAAATCAAGACCTAGACCTGCCCCTCCTCACTGCAGCAGCATCTACAGCCTCTAGGGTGGCTCACAGAAATGCAGTGCAAGCCCCATACATCATTTTAAATTTTCAGTATCCAAGCCTTAAAAACACAGGTGAAAAGTTTATATCATTTTCAATCGACATATAACAATCATACACATTGATGGGTACAAGATGATATCTTGATAACTGTATATATTGTGTGACGATAAAGTCAGGATAAATAGCACGTCCATTACCTCAATCATTTACCATTTCTTTGTTGTGAGAACATTCAAAATCCACTATTTTGGCCATTTTGAAATACGTCATTGTTAACTGTAGTCACCCTAGTGTGCAACAGAACACGAGAACTTACTCCTCCTACCTTATGGAACTTAGTGTCCTTGGACTGGTCTCTTCCCACCTGTTACCCCACCACCCTCCTGAACCTCTCGTAAGTGCTACTCTAGTCTCTACTTCTGTGAGATCAGCTTCTTTAGATTCCCACCTATAAGTAAGATTAACTTTAATAATATAATTTACTTAACCCACTATATATAAAATATTATCGTTTCAGCATGTAATCAATATGAAATTAAATCCTTTACATTCTTTTCAAAATGTAGTATGTATTTACGCTCACTCACAGTATATCTCAACTTGGTTGCAAATGTTTTAAGGAAAGTATCTGTCAGCTGTCATAAGATCGACAGTTAATGAAGTAGATCCACATACCCAGATTATTCCAAATTTTGTAAATTTCTCGATCCTGAAGGGAATATGCATTTTGAAAAACAGATTAATTAAATTACAATTTTAAATTTAGTTTCTCAGTCAGGCTAGCCACATTTCAAGTGCTTAAGACCACCTCATAGCCAGTGGCTGTTCTACTGGACAGCACAGGTTCAGGATATCTAGACTAAGGGATACCAATTACAGTTGAAACAACCAGAACTAAAGACAGGAAAAAAATGAAAGAATGCTCTCCTACCCACACTAGAAGTAAAAACTTACCCCCAGCCATCTTCCCCAAAAGAATTCCAATAATTGCTGCCAAACCAGGCTCATACCTCCAGGCAGGAGGCTGGAAATTCTTCTGCAGAAAACATGAGCAATCTAAAAGACAGGCCTAACTCTATGACATGGAGAGATCCCATTGAAGAACTGGCAAAATCAGCCCACACTGAGACCCAGAGGTGCTGAGTCCTAACAGTGAGGGACCAGGGGCCTCCAGCCTGGAGACAGGCTGTCATAGTCAGCTTTCAGGAGGTTTCAGTCTGTGATTCTTTTGGATCTGTGATAGCACAACAGGAGCGCAAAGTGGAACAAAACTGCTTGCCTCATGGTTAGGGTGCAAAAAGAAGAGAGAAAGAAGGGCGGGCTTGGGTTCCACTCCCCACTTTGAGGGCACACTTCCAATGACCAGGAGACTTCCCATTAGGCCTCTGTCTTAAGTTTCTAGCAATGGAACAAAACTGCTTGCCTCATGGTTAGGTGCAAAAAGAAGAGAGAAAGAAGGGCGGGCTTGGGTTCCACTCCCCCCTTTGAGGGCACACTTCCAATGACCAGGAGACTTCCCATTAGGCCTCTGTCTTAAGTTTCTAGCCCCTCATTATAGTCTCCTTATAGACCAAGTCTTTAACATATGGGCCTTTGGGGATATTTAAGATCCAAACTGTAGCACAGTCTACAACAGATGGGGAAAAGCAACCTGAAAACAGCGTCTATGTGGGAAAAAGAAAACATTCAAAAAATCTATTGATAATCACCCTAGAAAGATATCTGAAGATTTTGAATTCATTAGATGAGAGCAGAATGCTATTTTTAAAGTAATATTCAGAAAACAAATGATAACAACAAAACAGTAGCTGTTGGCAAGGTGTGAACAGAAGAATCAATACAATGGCTGGAAGAAAATTGAGTAGCCCTCCCAGAAGGTACCGCAAAAAGATCAAAAAAGAGAGACGGAAGATTTAAAAACTAAAGGATTGGCTCAGAAGAGCTGCTGGTTGAGAACAAGGTATTCTGGATTTACAAAGGAGAAAATAGTGAAAAGAAATGTTTTTTAACTTTATTTTTATTGGTACATATTTGTCATACATATTGGTCATATTCATCATAGGGAATTTGTACCTGTGCATAATATATCTTAACTCTATTTTTCCCCATCCCTCCCTGTGCTTCAACCCCACTTCCCCTTCCGATTTACAAAAGCTTTGTTCCCATCTTTTTCTTTCCATTCAAGGAATATTTTTTAAAAGCTCCAGTATGATGAATAAAAGTAAACTCACTCTAAGGCATCACAGGGAAATTTCTGAACTTTGGAAACAAAAAAAAAAATACTCCAAATTGAGAAGGTAGAGGAGGAGGAAAGATTATAAATACAGTAATAGATCTAAATCCTATTAACATGGGCTGTCTGTCCCAACAGCAACTCTGAAATCCAGAAGAAAACAGAGCAATGATTTTAGAATCCTAAAGGAAAATGATTTGTAATACAAGATTCTATACTCATTCAAAGTATCAAGCAACTGTGAAAGAAAAACACAAAAAACTTTTTACAGCTTTACCAAGTTTCAAAAAAAATTGTGCCTCCTATGAAGCCTTTCTCAGAAAGACACCATAGGATACACTGCAGCAAAAACAGGGAGTAAATGAAGAAAGATGACGTGAGATCCAGGTAGTAAAGGATCTAATACAAGTGAGAGGTGATGAGACTTCCAGGATGCTATTGCAGAACGATTTAGTATCTGTGCAGCAGGCATACAGGTTAAAATAGGTCATAAGTTTCCTAAGTAACTTCTCCAGGAAGACATTGATAAATGACTTTATATGTTTGAACACATTGAGAGGGATTTAGAAATCTGGGGAAGGGTTTATGAGTTGAATTAGTAATGAGCTCAAAGAAAACCATGGAAAACTTTTTCATGTAAGATAATTATAAAATTCCACAGAGAACAGAGAGAGCAAGAAAGGTCGAGATGACTGTGCTGCAAAGAAATTATACATAATTATAGAAATGCTGAATCTTGATCAAAGCAAAATTATTATATGAATATCAAGGAAGGAGGGGGAATTGCTAAAGTGGGTGCCACATGAGGAGGTAACAAGAAAACTAAATTCTCAGCCACCATTGAAGAAGCCAACAGACGAGACTAAAACTAAACTATCAAGAAGTAGCAGCATGCACGTATAATTCAGAGCTGGTGGTAAATACTAAAAACAAAACAAAACAAAAACTCCACTAAGGAATAAGGACTTGACAAGGGTGCAACAGCCTGGTGTAGAATTACAGTCCTCTTATAATGGACTTACAGAATTATCTGATTCTTTAAACTATGGCTACATATAATTTTTGCAGAAACTAAAACCTTAAATAAGAGCACTGTTTAGGATAGACAGATATTTATTATTATGGGGAAGGGAAAATGAAGAATAATACATTAGTCTGCTCAGGTTGCCATAATAAAACACCACAGACTCAGTGGCTTAAACAACAGAAATTTATCTGCCATAGTTCTGGGGGCTGGAAATCCCACAGCAAGTTCTGGGGGCTGGAAATCCCACAGCAAGATCAGTAGGGTCAGTTCCTGGTAAGAGCTCTTTTCCTGATTCCTACACAAATGTTTCTCTC